CGATGCTCGGTACTGCCGAGCGAGCCCCGGCCGCCCAAGAATACTTGTCGTAAGTATCGGGCCACCACAAAAGATCCCTGCTTTTGCCCTGTTTTTGCAAGCCCCCCCTCCTTGATGGAGGCCTCTGTCAGACTCTGCGCTTTGCTTTCTCGCCCAAAAGGTTCCAGGTCTGCGTACGGCATGTCAGCCTCCTGCATACAAGCACTTAATTAGAATTCTGCATGCAAACCCTGCCCAGCGAAACTGAGAGAGATGCCTTGGGTTTAGCGCTGTTTACATGGCCAACCTGCAGCACGACATGTCTCACAAAAGCATGCGAAAGAACGAAAGCAACATGTTGGAAGCCACCGACCTTTGAGCTGACCTGGTCGGAGGCGTGCACGGCATCCTTCACAAGAACCAGAACTCTAATGTCTATGGCTCGTTCTTATCTGCTTCGATTCTTGCAATGGCAAGACGATTGCATCCAGCACCGTTTTGCTCAGCGGCTTCAGGAACCTATACCCGTCTGAAAAGGAAAATGCTATGGCACTGCTACAGATTGCAGGGCTTAAGTTCATCGCATGGTTGGCGGCTTGCTCGAAAAGATCAAGGAATTCAAAGCAACGTTCAACTTTGACAGAAAGATACAGAAAGTAAAGAAGCTCAGGGTGGTCCATAACGGCTCTCTTGAGCGCTCCTGCACAGAGACCGTCGCAGCTGCTGGAGAAGCAGCCACAAGCAGCAGCAAGATCCGCAGGCAATTGGGCCTCATCGCCTCATCAGGAACTGGCTTAATGCTGTGGAGGTATGGTAGTTCCAAACAGAAACTGGCTGTGCAAATGCCTCCAGCTGCATTGGGGAGTAAGGACGCCCCACCCCCTTGAGCCTCGAACGGCTTTGCGGCCTTCACCCTGCAGTTCGGACAAGTTTGCATCTGCAATTCGCAAAACTGGCCGAGGCACCCATGGTTAATGGAGCATGCGCTCTCCATCTTGGCTCTATTCCGAAACAAAAAGAATGTCAAGCTGTGATGTATGTCCCAGCTCCCAACTGGCCACTGACACCGTCTGCACTTACAAGAAATGCGAAGTTGCCACTGTGCCGTCCCAAATCTAAGGACTTGAGACAGCTTGAGCCAAGGCAAACGAAGCCAGCAATTCGTTGCAGCCGTTCTGCCCTGCAAGCATTTCCAGTCCAAACCTGACGAAGCCCCACCTCTCGTAAAGGGTTTCCATGGTGAGGGATCCAAAAACTCAATCACCGGTGGATCACTTGATATAATTTCAAGACACTGCTCCTGGGGTCACATCCAATGCGTCATTCCTTCCTTTCTGGCTTCTTTCGGCCCTCTTCCCTGATTTAACTACATGCGTGTGCCGTGGGGTGACCGAAAAAATAAATGATAAATCAAGTTACTTAAAGCATCCTCCAGGGTTAGACATGTGCCAAGGGCTTTTCGAAAATGTGAAAATGAAACCTTTGCCCTGTCAAAGGACTGATCGACCAAAAACCTTCCAAACAAATATCGATCCAAAACTCAAGTGGGCTATCGCTAGGGCTTGCTGATGGTGATTGAAGATGTAATTTTCAAGATCCAGGCTGGCGAGGAAAACAGGAGCATCTAGAATCTAACGGCCCCACATCACGGGCGGAGGAAAGTCAAAACACCGCTTTAAGGGTGTCACTCAGGCGCACTTCCTTCCTACTTTTCTTCCTTCCGTGTTGCGTTGTTGTCCTCTGACTGCGTAACAGTCTCCGCTAGTTTCTCCCTCTAACGCTTTGTTGACTGTTACCTGCATTGATTCGTTGATCCCTAGTTGGCGTCTATAGTCCTTGTTTGAGTCTATTGCTGACGTCCCCTGTTTTTTCACAGCCAATGCAATGAATTTGCGTCACAGAATAGGCGCACAGGTGAGCTCAGCTTTCTCTTTCAATCGCGACTGACCAGCTGCCGCGTCCACAAAGCTCTCCGGATGCAAAGGAGATCAGACTGCCGACGGTCTGGACATGCCTGGACATCCCTCCAAGCTTCTGTGACAATCAGCATATGACACGTACCGAACATTACATTGTCTCGAAAAAGATCCACACCAACTAGTGGGCCGGGGGGTCCTGCACATCCACTTTCCAGCGCAGTCCGCATCCTGGAGGACGCTCCGGTCCAGTGCGCATCCATTGCTGGACGGGTCAGGGCGCACATTGGACCAGCAATTCCAGGGTCTTTCGGCTTCAGGGTGCAAGGTTTGGGGGTGTTAGTGCTGTGGCTTTGTTCTGCCACTTCGCACGGCATGCCAAAACGGTCACTACTGCACGTATGCAACTGTACACTGCGGGCGCTCCTTTCTTTTTGCTGCGAGAGACGAAGCGAAGCGTATGTCGCATGTCGGAAGCACCTCGGATGGGAGCAAAATGGGGGGCCCCCAAGCTTAGTTGAGGGGTGCCCCCTGGTGCTTTAAACACTTTATGACAACGTCACCCCGGGGAGGGCGGGTGGGCACAAAGAAATACTTGAGCGCAAAATCTTGCGCCAAGCCAACATCATTTGCAGAACTCTACGTTATCGCTAACAAGTCAGTTCTGCTGCTTCGCACGGCTTGCCAAAACGGTCACTACGGCATGCATGCAACTGTACACTGCGGGCGCTCCCTTCTTTTTGCTGCGAGAGACGAAACCCCGCGCATGCCATGCACGGATGCCGGTGAAACCAAACTCTTAAAGGAGGGGCAGCCGGAGCTGCAAAGCAAAAGAGGGGCTAATCGGGGACCCCTGCAATGATGCCAAACCTCTTGAGAAGAGGCGGCATCACTTAAAAGAGTGCCTGCAGAAACAACTCTACCACAAAGCGGGGATCTTGACGTCCCCTGAGGCCAGAGCAAAACCTCCTGTAGAGGATGCGGCTACTGCCTCGGGAAGAGCCGACAGAAAAGGCTATAGCAGGCACCAATTCTGGCCCTAAGAAAGGTGTACAAGGCCCACAAAACAAAGGGCGTAGCGCCCAGTGAGACTGGGACTAAGGACGGAGCACTGCACACCTAAATCTGCAGGCCTCAGCCCCTTAAGAATCGGAGACGTAGGAGCTCAGAACCTTTTGCTTTGGACCGAGGCCTTCCTTCTTCTGGAAGATCATCAGTGGAGTCGTATCTCTCCGGGGGAGTAAGGGCCACTTCAAGACACAACGGGGGCCGACCGCCCCATCTCCCATCATCAACTCCGCGGGCCTCATCGCGTAGTCAAGGAAGAAACCGGCAGCGTAGCAATACACCTTGAAGGAGGGGAGCGGGTGGCAGAGTGTGTTGGAGCTGTCCAGGCTCCCCACAGCACGCTTGAAGGAGAAGTAGGTCTTAAATTGGCAGGCTCCTGCAAGATGCTCTGACCGCAGCACAACCAACGTACATGCAAGGCCGCAGAGCCAAAACAGAAACGGGAGTGGGTGTGGCAACCCTCCCCTCGAGAACGGGCTTCGCCCAGCGCCCTCCAGGCCCGGCGGGCTCTTTCGCTGACAGAGAGGAGGCCCGCGAGGACCGGCACAGATCAAGGCAGCACGAAGGGCAAGGCTGGAATGTGGGCGTGATGCTTAGCCACGGGTTTAGGACTAGGGGAGCCCTCAGGGAGGGGCCTGTCACCCTGTGATGCTTGGCTGCAGGCCTTTTGCCCGGAGGAACGCGCTGGCAGACGCAGAGGATGCCTTGAGCCTCCGAAGGAGCACTGGGCAGGAGCTGCGGGCGTGACGACCTCCCAGCGGTCGGTATCAAAAGGCAAAAAAGGCAGTTGCTAGGCGCAGCCCCTCAAGCGCGGTCTGGACCTCAGAGATGATGGCCCCGTCCAGATCTTGGCTCATACACCTGGTAACCCCTAAACCTAAAGTGCCTAGGAGGACCAGTACCCTTATGCGTAGGAGTTTCCCCCGAGCAAGGGGCAGAGCAAAAGTCCAGAGGCCTCAGCAGGAGACAGGCGACGAATCCAAGTCCAAAAGCCGGCCACGAGAAGGGCACAGGACAGGATGAGCGACCCTTTGCAGTGCGCTGGGCAAGCTAGGCCAAACCAGTAGTTATTGGACCCCCAATAAAGGAACCTAACCCCTTGCGCGAGAAGAGGAAACCAGGCTTCCATCCGAAAAAGCTGCGATGCAATCAACATTCGATTCTACTTCCAGGGTTGTTCAGGGTTGTTTAGGCTTTAGGGGTTGGGTTCAAGGTTAAGCGGAAATTGAAGGTTCCAAAACTCGGACCAACAAACCTAAGCAACCATCACGCCCCAACCCTTTAACCAAATAAACCTAAGCGACCATCATGCCCCAAACTTTTGGCCACGCCCCCAAAGGGCGTACACTCAACCCCACGAGGGCGCGCGCAGAGTGCACGCAAAAACGGGCGTAAACTGGGCCGGAATGTGGATGCACACTGGACCGGAAAGTGGGCGTACACTCGACCCCGCCCCCAACCAACAAGAAATTCCAGTTTGGGTTTGGTATCACTATCACGCAGCCTTCGCAGAAGCATCTTGTCAGACTTGTGCAGGCATGTCTGCCATTCATGTTCTTCAGAGTGAGCAGCTTTGGACGCAGCACCCTGCAATGAAGCAGTGTTGGCGGAGCTTCTTGATCTTCACCATCTTTGCTTGGAATGCGGTGGCCAGCTCACAAGCACAAACGTACATCCTCCAGGACCCAGAAGAACACATGGCTGACCTGAGACACGTCTGGAGCCCTGAATGGACAAGTGAACCGACCCTCTGCAAGCAGGGCACTTTTGCCACTCCTCCGACATGTGCTCACTTCACATGCGCAGTTCCTGGTCAAGACAGGACACTGCTTGGCGGTGCAAGTTGCAGCTATGCTGAGCAAAGGAACAAGTACAGCATACTTGAAAAGCTAACTGCAACTACAATCCTGTCCGCCGGTGTCTACTTCCTCCAGCAGGTGGTCATCCCTTTTGCCACACAGCGTAGAGCCCGCGATCTCCTCATCAGCAAGCCAAGTAGTTGAAGCCTTGCTTTCGAATAACCAACAACGACGACTATCATGAGGCCGCAGCAGCATCAGCAGCAGCAGCAGCAGCAGCAGCGGTGGCGGCGGTGGCGGCGGTGTCGGGAAGCTGTAGCACACCGGCGGCGATAAAAGCAAAAGCAATGGCAGCAAACCCGAGATCGAGCGACTGCACAGCCTTGTTGTAGAGCTTGCTCGGGCGGTGTTCATCACACCGAAACGCAGTGATGTGACGAACAGAAACAGGAAGGCAGCACTGCACTGGCAGACAAAAGGAGCCTTCGCCACGCAGGTCAGAGGAGTCACAGCTCTCGTCATACACCATGCAGGTGAGACCATTGAAAGCCTCATATGTGTCAAGCAATTTCAATGCGCGGTCATGAGCATAAGTTGCATAAGGCACGCATGAAGAGCTTGAGGTTCGCGCTGCAACTTTGCAACCAGCAGTCTCATCGCAAAGCTCGAGGCACTTGCGAAGTCTCAAATTAGCTGAAATTGCTGGGTCCACCTGGCGCTCACCATCAACAGGCGCAGTAACATCTAGGGAGCGCGAGCAGAAGTCCTACAGTAGCTGCTCTCTGGGAGTCTTGGGGAAGGAGCTCAGAGTGCGTGAAAGGGGGCGCAAGCTGCTGACCATTGACAATTTGAAGTACTTTGGGCAGCGGAAGGCAGTCGAAGAAAAGAGATGGGCCTCTAGTGTGACACTTGCAGCAGGGTGCCTGCGGGAAATCTTCCTGTGTGATGAAACCATCGCGGCAGGTACCACCTTGAGGGAGCTGATGCCAGGAATCGCCACTCCAGGCATGCCAAGTTGTTGCTTCAGCCCCGTTCTGTCGCAGCAAGCTTTTTTCAAGGGACTGCCCCCCAAACAGGTGGACCAAAACGTGCTGGTAGAAAGCCACAGAATGGGCTCTGATTCTCCGGCTCCAAATCTTCATTCTCCAGCTGGTCTCACGAAGCAAAGATTGCTGCAGCAACGTCCCAATAGACGCCACCGAATCGAAGTGGAGTACATGAGGCAGGCGATAATAGTCTGTGGCCCCTATCCATCCCAGTGCCTGTTCCTCAAGAGCAGCAGCCAAGCTGGATTGGTTCATCCACGGAGCTTGTCGCTTGTGGCCTTGCTTTCCTTGCTCCAAAGCGACCATGCACATCGGAATGCCGCTTGCTGTGCTTCTGTCGTATTCCAGAGAACCCCATCGAACCGCTGGCAGCCACTTTGCCATAAGCTTTGGGCTTGGGAGAATTAGCGGCATGGCCTGAACATAAACAAGGAAAATCAAAAAGAATAAATGGATGCCACAGCATCCCACTCAGCTGAGAAGCTGCATGGTAGATCTCGAAGAAGGACATGACCTTCCACTTTGCAGAATCAGGCATCCTAGGCCCAGGCGTTCATGCCGCTTTCGGCTGAGCTTCACACGTCATTGTCCCAGGGGATCATCAAGGCAGCATCGTGAGAGAGAAGTGTTCCTTGGACACTCTGGCCTGTCAGCAAAACGGCGCAGCTTTCCTCTCTGCAAGTGAGTTGCTGAGGGGTAGATAATGTGCTTGGAAAACCTTGGCACCGCAAATCTCACCTCCCCAAAATTCACGTCACTTGCAGACCTCTGTTGGCAAGCCTCGCTTTGTAAGGGCGGACTGCAGAAAGCATGCATGTCAAAGCGTCTCCCAAGCCAGATTTCACTGGGACATAGAATAGTACAGCTTCTCAAGCACGGCTTAAGATCATGGGGTTCTTGCAAGACTTAGGGCACGGCTCTTTCTATTCTTATGGCATGTTTGCTGTTGCAGGCATGAGTCCCAGCATCCAAACAAACACATAAGGTGCAGCCTCAGAAGAACAATGCAAGGGAGCAATGGTGTTCTTTCTCGATGAGGGGGAAAGAAGTGCAGCGAAGGATGTCGAAACTACGGGCCAGTAGGCCTTAAGATTCTCCTCCGCTCGGGGGGGGGAGAAATGGGTTGCAGCCGTTTGCTGGAGTTAAGCAATGGATCTCAGGTGTCTGAGCTACGCTCGCACGAAAGATGTTGGTTGGTACTTGCAGGACGGGTTGGGATCATAGCTTGCCTTCAAGTTTGGTAGCCTCAAAGGCAGCATGTTGAAGACTTCGGTCAAGGGTTTGGACTGGCAAAAGCTGAGATTTCATCCAACTTCTTCGGACAGGTTCGGCCCTTGGCTGGATGACAGGGCGGTCGTCGTTCCACCCAGGGCGGTATGAGCCAACACAGTGTCGCAACTAGCTGGACTGAGGCATTCGGCTTCCTATTCGTCTATCACTTTAGCTGGCAGTCGAGGGTCAGGTCCGGATCTCGGATAGAATAGTTTTGCCGCCATCGGCTGTCATTTTCGAAATCTTCAGGATTGGATCACAGGCCTTAAGATAAGAGTTTTGACAGGCCAGCTCAGATCAGATTGGACTAGATCGGGTTAGATTAGCTCAGACTGTTTAGCTTAACTGCGCCAGCTACATCTCCTTGGAATGGATCAGATCAGATTGGACGACGTTAGGCATCTTATCAGCTCGGATTAAACTGCAAGGGACCTCAGAACTCCCTTCCTGCTGAATTTGCACTCCAAGGAATTAGAAGAAGTCCCGAAACTAGGTCAGGTTAGCAAAATCGCCAAAGTTACACATCACCAAAGTCAGTGTTGTCCATGGAAGTGTAAGAACCCGCCAGTTTCTTGACGAGACCTCACTTTGTAGAAATCAGTGTGAGTTTTGTTGAAGCCTGGGGAAAATGGCCTTGCCTGTTTGTGAATGAGCAGATAAATTGAATCTGGTCAGTATGGTGGCGTTTTATGGTTCTCAGCCTAGATAAATAAACGACATCTGCAAAAGCAGCCCGTTCCTTTACAACATGATTTCTACAACAATTTGTAGGAGCACCACCACGAAATCCGTTCACCTCCAGTCAGCAGGAACTACAAGAAATCCAAAGTATAGTCAACAGCGCCATACCTGACAGCGTGTCCAACAGATCCAAGCAAATCCATGTGTTTACGGGAAGACTAGCAACTGGGACCAAAGAAATACAGATCAATCCGCATCCGTGGAGATCTTGTATCGTGTCATAAACAAGGGAACGTTGGCAATTTGCCAAACCCCTGTGAAATTTGACAACTTTCGTGAATTCTGTTGCCTTCTTCTTTGATGATTAGCAATGGTCTGAGCTTTGTTCATTTGGCGGGAGGTTTTGTGGAATTCGCCAATAGTGGTCACATTGCAGAAGTCGCAGACAATGTCGGTTGAGGGAGTTTTATGAGTTTTGACAATTTGGTGAACTTCATGGTATCAGATTGATGTTTGATGCTTTGGCTGATTTTAGGTGGTCTTGCAACTTTTGCTACTTTCTGGTGATGTTTGGGATTTCGGCGATGCTTCGTTACTCTGTTTTCTGTGATCTTGTAGAGTTCCTGCATTCGGAAATTATGAGACAGATGCTAGATCACGGAAGGAATTCTGGCGAATTATTGCCCAGTCTGCAAAATTTCTTAACGTCCATTTTGCAACTTTAGTCCCTTTGTAAATGGCAAGGACCTTCCAGGCTAATCGAAGGCTTAGGGAAGGATAGCGAAGTCATATCCGCACATTGTTGGTCAAAGTAATGTTCAAATTAACTGGTGTTAGACATGTGAACAAAATGAAAAAGCATGTGCACTCATCTGCCAGTTCTTGTTCTCTAATTTTGGAGCACCTCGCGACTTCTACCCACAAGATCCCAGATGAACACATTTGAGACTAGGGCTTTAATGAATCATTTTCAAAACCGAGGTTTCTGTGACAACGTTGATGAAGTCTTGTTCGAATTTGGAACAACAGCATGTAAGCTAATGTTGTACGGATATGGTTGTGCGGATTCATAAAGTTTGGTGTGCGTTTGTTGTTCTTTTTGTGCGCAAAAATCTTTAGCTGTACATTTTTATCTGTGATTTCAAGCATGAGGACATGGTGAGTTGCGCGGTATCTCTGGCAGGATGTCAAGCCTTGGATGATTTCTGAGGTGTTGTAGAGACTTGTTGACTGCTGCATCATCAGTTTGAGGGAATAACTTTTCTGTGGCCCGTGCACAAAGGCCTGAATCAAACCTTGAAGTAAGCTGTCAAGGGGCCTTCCGGCTCCTGCACAGGCTGTTCCCTGAACCCGAGCCCAAGCGCTCATACCAAACCCTCCACCCTAAACTGTGTGCCAAAGTTCATTTGAGATAGCTATCCCCACACCTAAGCAGATGATTCAGGATGTAGAGCATGGGCTTGCCAGTTAAGAGTGTAGCTTTACTTGAAAAATTCAGGTTAAGGTAGTTCTTAACAGGAGTGGAGAAAGGGCCCAGAAAATCTCCAAGCAGGGATCTATTCACGGTTGAATATTCAGCATTCCATTTTAAGGGCCTCATGGGATGCACATGTGCGTCCAAGCAAAAATCGAAAAACAAGCGACGATTTGCGCACATCAACTTCACTTGCCGACTTTGAGCGTCAACATCTATCGTGCTTCAAATGGCATCAGCTGATTTTCAGACACTGAAATCGACCAGAAACCTCAGCAAAAAGGCACCTGCAGGGCAAGTTGTATCCTTTCTGGTCTTAGAGGCCGCTGGAGTTGACACCGGACGGAACTGGAGCTGCAATTGTGCTCTATTTGCAAGACATCTTCCAGGCATGATCCACGTTTTGGGCTTGTTACCTGGTCCACCTGCACTTCACCAAAAAGCAAACGCATGATTCAGTATCCGTGCGCGCCGAGCAACGACTGCATTCGGTCCCGGGAGTATTTGCCGGAGCAGGCCACGGAAAGCAGGGCCAAATGTGGCACGGCCTCAGATTTTCCAGGACGCGGCTTCCAGTTGAGACCTCTATCAGGAGCTGGCTAAAGACAACTCATCTGCACTTTCGCAAGGCCAACACCAGAAACTGGGCTCTGGCTCTGGGGGCGATATCTATACTCAGACTCCAGGATGCATCACAGGCGCAACAAGACCTCAGGCTCGAACGCCAGAGCTCTGGACGCAGCGCTACGGCTCTGGGATGCGAGGTGACATGTCCTCGCAGGATGTCATGCTCACGTTCAGCTGTAGCTGCAGAGTGCCTTGAACTTTGGCCGCACCTGAATGAGTGGCTTCTTGGTAGAAAGAAAGTGGAGGAACCGCTGGAACCCAAATGCCAGTTGCATGATGGAACTGCGCTGCCCGCATCAAGTCTGTCACCACCTTGGCTGTTTTTGATGTCTGGTGGGCTCTTGTAAGGGATAGTGCCAAGGACGCAGCAAATGCAGCTCGTGATGATGCCTCACCTATACTTTTGCTGCGGGAGAACTCTATGCGTCGACTCAAGCACAACAGAATCAGAAAGGCCTGAGTGCGACAATGCGGTCGCTTGTGCGGACTGTAGTAGCGGTTCCAACGTCTCAGGAGATGCCAAATATGTTAGAGCCAAACCTCAAGGAACTACTGTCCATCTCAAAGAAATGAGAAGATGTGTGGCGGAACATGTTTCCACTGAGTCTCCGGCCGCCATACACCACCGTGGGAGCTTTCAGGACTTGCTGCAGCATGTAGCACAGAATGTAGGGGCCAGTGCACACTTGCACATCGGCTTGCAGCAAAAAGACCTCCAGCTCCACAATTGCTTGAAGCTCGTGACGGAGTACCTGTGGCACGCATCAATGGCACCTCCATGCCTCTTGTGACACAGCACGCTGCGCAGGCCTCCTCGCTGTAATCCATCTCTTCGAACTCTGCCCAATTCATCATGCGGCTCAGAATTCTCTCAAAAATGAGGTCGTTCTGACACTGGCCAAGCCTAGGACAACTCTTGCAAACATGTATATCCACCCTGCTTCGCAGCAAAAACCTGAGTGCCTGACACTTCGCAGCGAAAACTGCAATGGTGGGAGGCCGCATGATGTTTAGGGCAGCTTAGCCCAAAATACTGATGCTGAGAGCGGCCATTTAAAGCCGCATGCACCGCAGTCGCAATGTCTGCGCACAGGCTGGGATGAGCACCCACCACTGCCAGCTTCCACACGCCCGACAGTGACGTTGTTGGTGCTCTCACCGGCTCCCTCAACAGCATGTCTTGGCGGATCGTCCAGGGAACCAAGCTTTCCACAGCTGTCCGGGTGCGAGTGTAATCCAGGCAGCGGCCCATTGCACATTCACCAGCTTGGCAAGAGAGCGAGGAAATCTGCAAGCAAGCAATGTCCTTAAGGCCAGCCACACATGCAAGGCATCCTCAAGGCTTTCATGAACGAATTGGGACAACATGGGACAACCAAGCCCTCAACCAGTGACGACAAAGGCCACGCAGAATCCTCCAAAAAGTCCAGTGCTCCAGAGCCGCCCAAGAAGCGCATTGCCAGCCCAGTGTAGTGCTGACTCTCCCAGCTGCCCTGGGGAGATACCAGGCTGTGCCGAGCAAGCACATACAAAGCAGCCACCAGCCCATAGTGGCAGTAACGTGCAGTTCTCACCAAATCCAGCGGCGCCGCACCAATCAACACCTGACCAGAGAACAAAGGCAAATCAGTTGTTGTAGGAGCCAAGGTGCTCAAAATGAGCCTGGTGAAACAGAGCCGACGCAGCAGCCAGCGTGTCCGGATCTGCGCTACTGGCATCCCAAAGTGCCTTTGCCATCACCTGACGCCACGTTACCGTGTAATTGCCAAGCCTCATGCTATGAGTCAATGAGTTCAGCTCTCAGACATTGCCAATCACAATCTCTCACAACTCAAGCTCACATCACTTGCGACGCAGGGTTTCTCTCAGAAGGACATGTGAGGTGCCCAGAGACCAGTTTGGGAATCCGAGAACCAGAAACAGTTTGCAGGACCTCTGCCTTCTCGAATACAACTTCGCCCGAGACACCCAAACTAATGAGATCTGCCTGAAGCTTCCAGTCGATCATGAAGCCAGAAGCAGCATTGCTCTGGAATGCCCGGCGGAACGCGTTCCAAGCCTCATGGCACAACAGGGAGGTTGCTGCTTGCCAAAGCTTGCGCAGTGCTTACGCAGTGGGTGCTGAGGCACCGGCCCCGTGCTCATCCGAGGAGCAATCAAGGACGGCAGCCATCGCAGCCATGGGTCTTGTCGGGCCCAGCCGCTCCAAAGCAAGATTTTCCTGGAAGGTCTCAACCTTGCCGTCGTCCTTTTGCACCTGGGCAAGAGTCAGGCACGTTGTTCAAGCATGCGTTCATGTTTTCTTCTAAGCATGCTGCAAAGTCAGAGTCGTGCTGCAGGCGCTGAAGCGTTGCAGTCCAGAAGTTCAGAGCAGTTGTTCGGAGCTGCGCGAGATGCTCGCCCATCCCTCGGCTGATCGTATCGAGATCCACAGTGGCCGCGAGCTCGATCAGCTCAGGAATACTGCTAAACTGCTGAACCTTCATGGCAGGGGATGCGAGCAGAATCAGATCATGTGCTCTTTTCTGAGCACCCCGCATGCGGTCTGGAGTGAAGCTCAGATGTTTGCTGCCAGAACAGGAATGCAAGAAGATCCGCTTCGCCACCAGCACCAGACAAGAATGGAGCATGCCTCAGATAACAAGCAAATGAGTGATTTGAGCGCGTCTTTAGTTTCCTGCGTGAAACGAAGCAGGTCCAAGCGGCTGAAACATGTGATGTATGTCAGAAACGTCTGGAAGCGAAATTGCTTTCTGCAGGAAGCCGAAGGGAGCAGCCTTAGATGAGCACAGAGAGTCAAGGAGTGACAAGTCTTCAACAACCAAAACTAAACAACAGTTGGACATCAACTGCTTGGATCAACAGCTCCACCATCGTTCTGAGCAAAGGACACGTCGCAAGCGATACAGCCAGGAAGGACGCGGCACAAAGATGGGAACACCTCTTGCAATACAAGGGGACTTCAAAAGCTAGTGATGTCAAAATTGGTCCGTGGCGGAGGGCGTAAACTTCGATGAAGGCAAATACCTGACGCTGAGAGACAGGTCAGAAGCTACCATATTGCTTTGCTGGCAGCGCACCGTCAGATCGTTGGGAACAAGCACCGTTGCGCGATAGCTGGCAATTTCACGTGGCCTCGGATTCCCTTATCGAGGAAGCTGAAATGCCACTCCTCCAAATGTGCAGATGGTGCCGAGGTTCGGTAGCTCGTCGGGTCCATATGATGCAGCCATCACGAAAGTGTAGTTGTGGCCTTTTGCATGGCAAAGTCACGGCAGATACAAGCCAACTCCTGAAGCTTCTGGGGCATCTGCTACCCTCATTTAGCCGCAAGTAGGCTTCCAGTACATCCATGAAGTATTGGCCAGGCAGCCGGTGCCAGTAACGAGCCCGTAGCACCAGGACCTCTCAGGCGGCCACACTGCGAATGTTTTTGACAGCTGCATCCTAGGAGGTACCTCTGTCCAATGATCTGCTTCTTGACCTTTCCAAACCACCCCAGATGGCAGGTAGTGCGCCACTCGTTCGACAACCTCAGTAAAAAGCCGCATGAAAGATGCAAGGGAATTGAGTAAAATCACCTGAGATTCCGGACGCGAAGACTCACTCCGGTCTGGTAGAGGCACTGCGAGGCTGCGAAGAAATTGCAGGCCACCAAGACTCGCCTGCATGAGCAGAAGCTCTTCTGGTAGCTGCTCGCCCTTCTGACTCCTGAGGCCTGGGATTTTGCGCCATGGCACGGACCTAGCTATGCATCATACCAAGACAGGAAAGACTTCAGTATCCAGGAGGTCAGGTGAGGCTGCCGCATGTCCCAAGAGCACTGTGCGAAAGTCATCGCTGGGTGCAGCTCCCCAAAGCAGCTGAGAGCAAACTGGCATCACCTGGTCTTCTGAAAGTTCTCAAACGGCAATGAAAAGCCCATGCTCAGTCGGCTGAGATTCTCAAGTTTGCAGCTCAGAAGCAAGTGGCTTGGAAGGAGCAAGGACATCGATCAAGTAGCACAGGGACATCGGACCCGAGCCTCAGCGAATGCTGACCCTTGTTCCGCAGCTTCACCCGTGCCATCTGCACAGCACAGTGTTCTCAGGCTGTCGCATACGATGAGGTCGGCATTGCTGATAGAAGGCTCTCGCACCCACGTGTGGCGCAGCTCACTCAAAGCTTCCTGTACAGACCAGTGGACTTCCTCCTGCAGAGTTGGCGTTCGGAGCATACAGGAGTAAGCAAAGCGATCCAAGCGTCAGGCGTAGTCGCCTGAGCTGTTGAACATGCGCTTCAAGAATTCTGCCTTTGCCAGCGGGGCGCTTCAGCAAGGCCCGCTTGGTGGCAGCGGCTTGCTGAGGTCAAGTCAATCTCGTCGTCATCGCATGGAGACCCCAACATCTCACCTCTGGCCCAGGGTTGCACATACTCAAACGCCTGTCTTCTGCACGAGCTTGGCTCGCGGCATTTGTGGACACAGGCATGCTTTAGCGTCTTGTCACCCGGCCGGCCGTAGCATGGATGTCCGGCATAGAACACCCCAAGACCACCTACTCTAATCAGAACAGCTCCTACGCAGCTGGGAGAAAACATGTGCCTTCCAGTCCGGAGCGTATCGCAGCTTCACCTTGGAAGCTGTTGCAGCAGCATCTTTCATTTTTGTGGAAACAGGTTTGGCCAGCTTCCCCTAAGTGCTGCACGAAGAGCTGCAACAGGCTCCAGCGTGCTGGCCACATGAAGCCCAAGTGCTGCAATGCGAAATGGGGTGATCTTCCAGCTGCGATCCGTGACATCAGGAATGTGAGAAAAGATCTCCTGTCAGAACGGCATGCAGCCGCAGACATTCTCAAAAAGTACCCCAGGCTGCAGGACATCATGCGTGCCTGCAGCACAGCTCTGGAGGCGACTTGCCGTCGGTCCAAGATCTTGTGACAATCTGGTGATGATCGGAAGCCAAGCGATGAATGCAAGCCTTGAGGTGCCAAGAATGCGAACAAACAACAGCACTGAGCACAAAAGGCTGGGCTATCAGCTCAAATGCAGGTCAAGGGAAGACAAAGGCCAATCCGAGCTTTCAAGGAAATCCGTCTCGCCCGTCTCACCTCCCAGGAGCTGCTCCGCCTCGAAAGATTGAACAGTCGTGCTCAAAAACTTGGAACTTTGATGAACTTTGCCAACAACTCAGTAATGCACAACATGGAGCAGGGGTTGCCGGTCATGGCACGCAGCAAGTCGAGGGTCACCTCCTGGCAACGAGTGTCCTGCAGGCTTGAAAGGATGAAACAGCATGTTGATCAACAAGGTGCGAACAGGCAGGATGGGAAAAGCAGAGCTGCGCATCCGTCAGTCCTGTCGCATGCTCGACAGGAATGGTATGCCTGTATTCCACGAAAAGGGCGTGCACGTAGCCGTACAAGCAGAAAGCCATTGGGTCTTCAGGATTGTCCACCTGCACTGAACTTTCTCTTCGCCACAAGCCTCTTTTCCTGCTTAGTTGCTGGGGTCCAGGCATAGGATGGATTGGATGGTCGCAGGGAAGCTCCCAAGGGCATCTCTCTACCTGTGACAACCAGAAAGCAAAAGATTAGAGAGACTTAACACGGACAAAATGTTTGCGCCTTGCGAGCCCTGAGCCATGAAGATCCTCTTTTCAGAGCCATGAGACCTGCATCTGCCAAACGAGCAACTTACAAATTTGGGGATTCAACCACATGAGCCTCAACTCGAAAACGTCGCCAGTGGCAGCGCTGCGCAGATGCACGACCCAAGCCCGGGCTCCAACAACCATGCCTGAATAGATGTGAATTCACTCCAGAAACAAGGCTCGTCTCAAAGTTTGGGGCCGAAACTTTCCTCGAAGTCGCTTATGAGCTCAACCGCAATCTCGCGTAAGCTGTCATTTCTGGGATAGCCAGCACGAGCATTTAAGATAGCTCCTTCTCGAAAGTCCTTGGGAGGCCGCAGGGCAAACATGAAAAAGCTACAGTACATTTCAATGTCGCGCAGTACATAGATCTGAGGTACCAGCAGACCACTTGGCAGCAAAAGGTGGCCCCTCGCAGTTCAGAAAAGCAGGAACCTGCCACAACAAGGGCCTTTGCCCCATAATATCTCCCTCGATCACACCTCTCTGCAGGCAGGAAAGGCAGGAGCACCTTCAGGGCATGGCCATCCACGCCAGCGACCCATCCGAAAGCGCAAGAAGCTGCTTGTACCACCACAGCCCAAAAGTGCTGCCTTAGAAAAGCAGTACTGCTTCACGTCATGCAGCGCGGTAAAATGCTTCTGCAAAACTAAGCCTGGCTCATCGCCGCCGCCGCTGATCGGCCATGCCATTAAGGGGACGCAGCCTTCCACTGTCAACACTACCTGGATAAAATCCACCTGCTTGCAATGTGAAACCTCGCATACTGGGTAGGTCAAGTTGTACCTTCGAATCGTGTTATAGAATCTGCTGCTCGCAAGGGTTACACTCTGCGTTGTCCCACAGCCTTGCTCATCCTGAACCAAGCTTGGCTTAGGAGAACTGTGGGCGCAAGAAAAGGAAAGGGCTCCGAAACATTCGAAAAAAAGTTCTGAAGCCAAACGTCTGGATTCCCTTGCGACTCCTAGGCACTGTTTGAAACTCCCCCCACGGCTTGAGTCTTGAGCCTTGGAATCAGCACCAACATTTGAAGGCTCAGGATGGTTGGTTAACAGTCGGAACTTGAGGATGGCATGGCTCCACAGGATGGAGATTAGGGTTTCATCGTCTCCCCTTTGTCTCCCTTCATGTGCGTGGCCTTGGCCGGGTCTGTGAAGCTTTGTTTCGGCTAGTCTCCCCTTTAGTCTCCCTTCACCTGAGTGGCTTCGGCCGGGTCCGGGGAATCCCTGTCCGTGGGTGGAACCCTTGTCTCCGCTTCCCTCGTCCTGGCCGGGTCCGTGGAATCCGTGTCTCCGCTTCCTCTCGGTCGGGTCCGCGGAATCCCTGTCTCCGCTTGTCTCCCCTTTGTCTCCCTTCATGTTCGTGTTCTTGCTTGTCTTCCCTTGGTCTCTCTTCATGTGGGCGGTCTCGGTCCGGCGCTTGTATCCCTTTAGTCTCAGTTCATCTCGCTTTGTCTCCCTTCATGTAAGTGGCCTCGGCCGGATCCTTGGAACACTTGTCTCCACTTGTCTCCCCTTGTCTCACTTCATGTGAGTGGCCTCGGCCGGGTCCCTGAAACACTTGTCTCCGCTCGTCTCCGCTTGTTTTTCTTATGTGGGTGGCCTTGGCCGGGTCTCTAACATGCTTGTTTCCGCATGTCTACCCGTGTTTCCACTTATGTGAGTAAATCTCTGGAATGTTTGTCTGCGATCTCCCTTCATGCGCGTGGTCTCTGGAACGCTTGTCTCCCCTTGTCTCCCTTCACGTGGGTGGCTTTGGCCGGGTCTCTGGGATGCGTTTCTGGACCATGTAGAACATCGTTTGGGTCAGCGAAGCAAATTTCAGCTTCTGGATGCTGTTGCCAAGTTTGCATCTTGGGGAGTGGCTCCTGAGCTGCGTTTGCGAGATGTGTGATCCGCAGGTCAAACGGTTTGAGGCGTCGGGTGTGTACTTCGGCTTTATGGAGTCCGGAGTTTAGAGCTAGGGGTGGTAGGGGCCTCATGAGGTTCCCTGCTTAGCAACGAGCTTTTGTGAGTGAGACGTACGGAGCGAGGCTGAAGGCTCAGGGGTAAAGTACTCTCGCATCCACTCAACGTGGTTGTTGTGAGGCACCATGGGGCTCTGAAACTATTTGCAAGGATCCTCAGCTAAACGTATGAACGCAAGTGCAACCCATACACCTGAAACCCTGGAATTTGTGTAGTCTATAAGGGGCAGCTAGATCACCTTTTGCATTCTGTGACGTAGCAGTTCCTGTCGAAAGCCGCTCTCAACGCTTGCTCCCCAGAGGAACCTGGCCAGGTGGCTGAAACTACTGCAGGCTTTTGGGGTTCAGGTTCCAAATTCATCTCGAATGTTGTTTGAGCAGTTTGGGGGCAGCTTAGCTTCTTGCGGTATAGACGCCACACGCAAGAGGAATTTTTCCTCACCCTGCCGGAACAGAAGAGGCTTTTTGGTTTGCCAAGAAGACCATCCCGAATGCAGTAGCGCAGGAAAGGAAGTAGTCACCCTTGACGCCTACACGCTCTATATTGCTTACTACGTTGGATTTGGGGCGGCGAAACTAACCACCTATCCAGAAGGGCCCTTAGCCGCAGCATGAGGGGCTTGGAGCTTGAGGGAATAGCCAGGCTTCGGGCAATGGAGGCTGGGTTTGAACTCATGGTAGTTGGGTTGTTTGGTTGCCCAGCCTTCAGTGACTCCCTTGTTCCAGCTGACTAGGATCGAATCGCAAAATGCATGCTCTCCGTCATGTGAACAAACGCATTGCAGTTGACGTTTCAGACGCATCTATGCACCCTTTCAAAGCAGCGCTGCCTTTGCTTAGACCCCATCAGCCTTGTGGCCATCGCTGCTGCCATCCGGCCTGCTGCAGCTTTTTAGCATGGTTTGTCAGCTTTGGCTTAGACCTACTAGAGTGTAATGCCAGGACGCTCCAATGCATTCAAAGTCCACCCGGACAAGCACCCCAGGCGCAACAGTGCACATTCAAAAGGGATTCCAAGAGCAGGGCCCAAAACAGCACTTCGGGATTCCAAGAGCAGCACCCAAGTCTTAAAGCACGTCTGAAGCACGCCAAGCGCACCACAAACAGTTCACATTCAAAAAGCCGAGCATATCAGATTGTAAATAGCTCCTGCAAAGTTTTCCAAGCTCGCACAAATTTAGCACCTTCTCCAGGCTTCTGGCGCTGTCAGCCAAAAGCTTACATGTCGCTCGGCAGAGGGTTTGGGGCCATTTGGTGGAAGCTTGGAAGGGAACGGGAAATAGTCAGGCAGCAGCAGGGCAACGTCGTAGCCGTTAATAATTGCCAAACTACTACCCACACGAAGCGGACCGCGACCGAATCAGAAACCACGTCGAGAATCAGAAACGAATCAGAAACTAAGAAGCAGAAACTACCTGCGAATCAGTAACTAAGAATCAGAAACCAGAAACTGCCGAATCAGAAACTGCAAATCAGCAACCAGCGCGAATCAGAAATTCCGAATGAAACTAGCGCTAATCAGAAACTGCGAATCTTAAACCTTCGCGAATCAGAAGCTGCGAATCAGAAATCACATGCTTAAGCTCAAGCTATTTTGCCTGGGCTTGGGCCAAATAATGAATAGGCCAAGCCCCCAAAGTGTTTAAGCTTAAGCTATGAAAATTAGCTGAGCCCAACCCTGAATAGACCAAGCCCCAAAGGTGTTGAGGCTTAAGCTTTTTGCCCTGGGCCAACGGTGAATAGGCGAAGCCCTGAAAGTGCTTCAGCTCAAGCTATTTCAACCTCAGACCCCTAGACCCGAGCCCTAAACCCTCAACCTTTGAACAGAACCTAAAACCCAAAAGGTTGAGGGTCTTTTAGGTTGGGTTCAGAGCATCCATGCCCAAACCATGACTCGTTCCATGTTACGCGTGCATCCGGACACGGAGGTCATCCTGAGTCCGCCCTTGTTACCACTGCATCCGAACACCAGGGCATCCATGCCCAAACAATGGTTCCGTCCATGTTACCAGAGCAGCAGCTAACAAGAAATAAACTTCAAGCCTCAAAAGCTCCCCTCTGGACGATATCACGTACCAAACTACCAAGTAATCGCTTCTCTAATACTAAACCCCAAGCTGCGAAGTGGGAAACTACAGTCTTTGATGGGCTGTGCAAACACCTAAGCCCACGGATAAACGAGCTGGGTCCAATGGGAAGGGGCTCTGAACTCCAGTCTTGTGCACGTCTGTGGCAGTTTGGATGTCGCCAAACATCAGGGCTCTTTTGGGGGGGCTTGTATTCCGATTCCTTGGGCACTGCAGAATTCTGCGAACAAAGCACATGTTTACGAGCCCGATGTTCGTGCAACAGCCCATAACAAACGATGTTTCCGCATAAGCTTTCCAACCTGATACATTACAACACCTTATGCAGGCTCCAAATCCCCGGCAGCCGAAGGGAAGGGATATTGTAGATTCAGCGAGGGGATGTGCAATTTCAGGTCTACTGCAGTCCAAAGGGTCAAGTTTGGAGGCTGAACATCAACGGTTTAGGGCCAGGGGCTGGATGACTCACAAAGCATGACTTGATTGCTTTCACTTCGTCAGTGTGAGATGGCAAACACATGGCTCCCTGAACAACAGTCCATCGAATCATTCCGACCCTCATTCCCAAACACTGCAAAAAAAGCTGACCCAATCTCCTGAAAGCCCAGCGCTGGCCCAGGCTTCAGGATTTCCGCATCCCAGCAAAGATCGAAAGAGCTGACTTCTCAACATTGCATCTCAATGATGATTGGAGGAGCCGAACAGCTCATGGCCTAAACAGCACGCGAACCTCAAGAGACCCCCAAAGAAGCACACCATTGTCTGGTAGTTGCGGAAGCATATGTCGTGAGTGTCCTTGATGACCTGCCAAATTTGCAAACTGTGTTTTGCGGGTACTGTATCGCACGAAGATAAAGGGAGGGTTTTTTTCAAGAAATTGCCGCACGCACTGCCACGTGCAGTTTTGAGAGCGCGTCACAAGAAATGATGGGGTTTCGCGAATGGCTCGCAGTTCCCACAGGGTTCTCCTGCCCGTGGTCAGCACATAAAACCATGCAAGACAAGTCGCAGCCTTCACCCTTGCGACATTTCAAATTGCACGCATGCCTCTTGTGGGATGCACAAAATTGTTCTAAACTTACTAAACTGAACTGGAATGTTGGATCACTCATGGGGTTCCCACGCTTTCCATACCTTCCCAGTGCCTGCATCCACAAGGCCCCATCGAATTAGCCGGCCGACTTCTCCCATCTGCTGCAAGCTATCCATGGCATTCCAAGATGCCAGCAGCCCGGTACCCTGGCCAAAAATCAACAACTGCAGCTCCGAATTGAAATCGTCGATGCTCTGGATGTTCTTGATCTTGCCGAGGATGAGCTCCCTGTCTTTCTCGCAGGATGCACGCATGCCCCGAACATCCAATTGCTCCAATGTCCGCGCACGTTGTTGGAGGGTCATTCTGGTTGAAAGCCTACGCTGTTCAAGAACTGAAGTATGTACTTTTAGTCTTGCTAGTGATACAGTAGGAGAACCAGAGCAAGCAAAGCAAAGACACTACTGAGCAGCCTAGAAGCTTCAATGATTGATTCATTTGCAGACGCTTGGCTTCTGCAATTTCGGCCATACACCACGCACGATGGAACAAGTCGAGAGCTTGGTCGACAGCAACAACTTGTCTGCAGCCTCCTGTGGCTTTAAGGTGGTACATCATGTCATCAAACTTATTGATTTCTGACATGTCACTTCGTCCATCCGGATCGTGGATATTCACGCAACTACAGCTGCAAACTGGGTGCAGCTCGTTCGTGACAGGATCCCGGTCATATGGGTTGGTGTGGCATATGCTGGCATGCTGGTTAACTGAAAATGCACAAATCCAATACATATCATCTAACTGACCAATCTCATCCACGACAGCGCAAAGGAACTCACAGTCTTCCTCCAAAAGTCGCGCTGCGAGTTTAAAGCTGCACTCTTCCAAGGCGTCTGAGACTACCGCGGCCAGCAAATCCTTGAAACTGTTTCCCCAGTTGTGGGTTACCATGACCGTAGCCCTTTGAGCACCACCTCGGTTCAAAGCCGAAACCGCATAAGCAGACTCCTCTTTGCTCGTGAGGGGTATGATGGCCCTGCGGACCACATCTCTGGTCTTGTGCTCTCGAGGCACATATTTCCAGTCTGGTATTCTGTGTAGGTCTTGCTGGTAGAAGTGCAGGAGGCTGCGCAAGTTCATTCCCCGCGAGGACAGCTCTTCAACTTTCCTCTTCCATGGCTGGCTCCATTCGGTCACTTTGGCCACCCCTGCTAGGGGTTCTTTCTCACATTTGCAGCAGGACATCTCCTGGCTGGCTTGGTTGGGTTGGAGCTTGGGCAACCTGTGACTGCCGGACAAAAGCAACGCTGCGAAAGCATTGCCAAAGGAATCGAAACACTGAACGACAGCTAACAGCCACGTAAACGTATCTCTTGTCGCCATCGTATCCAAATGCAAACTCCAAAGCGCTACTGAAAGCACGACAACTGTGAGTACGAGACTGAAGGCGACACCCATCACTTGCAGCGCAGTAAACCTCTTTGCTTGTTTCAAACTTGACTGTACAGCAACTGGCGTGTCTTCCATCTCTGCAAGGCGCAAAACCCTCCGCATCTGGAGGAAGGACTGCGTCAGAGCATAGATTGCCAAAGCGCTTGCCCCAACGTTGCAGACAAAGCTCAAAGAGCCAGCAAGAAAGGCCCCATTGAAAGTCATGGATAACAGTGTAACCTCAACTTGGCCACCAAAGCCTAGAGGTAGAAGGGCGGCCACCGCAGTCACACAAGCCTGCATCCACACGAGCTTCCGCAAGCAACTGCTGCAATAGTTCTGTTTTGATGTTTGTTCCAAGAGATCGAGCCGTCCAGCTACAAGCAGCTGCATCCAGAACAGGCCAACCAAATAGAGCACAAGCCTGAATGCCACCAATGCAGAGTGCCAATCTGATAGCATGTACCCACAATCAAGGTTTGACGAATTGCTTGCTTGCCCATCCAAATTTTGCACAAGGCTTGCTGGCAGGAAGAGGGACTGCAGCCAATTGATGGTTGCATAGCCGCAGGCTGACCGAACATGAGATGAAGCTCCGGCCCTTTTGTTCAGGAAGGCTGCAGCAAAACCAGCTCCTGCACTTGCCAGCTGCAGTCCAGGGAAAGAAGCTTTGTGCGGAAAAGGGCATACTCTTCTTTCTAACAAGATGTGATCTTGTGTCAGGGCGCTGGTCACCCCGCTGTCCACAATGCGATCATAATCCCTAGGAAACAGCAGAACAGCAGCTGTGGCATTGACGACCAGTACCAACAAGTATGATCCAGGCAGACATGATTTCAAGAAGCCTACGGATGGAACCGATGAGGCTGTCTCAGAACTCACAGAGTTTTCTGAGATTGAAGCGGCCATTATTCAATGGATTTCCGCCCAAATTGGCTGCAGCGAACACGTCTAATTTGTTCTGGCTGATGGCTGCGCACTGTGCCTATTTTGACCCCCCATCATGCAGGCAAGGCGCGCCTCGTCGCAGAGAAAGAAGATGTCGCAGTTGCAGCGGGAATAGGAACTGTTACTACATTTGGTGGGATGAATGGTGTATTGGGATTATGGTATGGTGCGGCGGTGCCACTATCAGAATCGGCACCACCATTATTGCTGCTTCTGCACTTGATGAATATTTTCTATTGCTATTTACTGTCGTTGTTGCTTTGGTTTTTGCTGGAAACCTTACTAGCATTGTTGCTTGAGAATGTAAGGGGGCGCTGCATGTATGAACTGGATGCCTTGCTAGCTCATGTACGGCGTACACGCCAACTCTGCGAAATATATTTGGATTATGCCGCGAGTGCGAAATTCAGGATTTATATGGATTTATCAAACATATGAGTCAAGCGGTCACTATCAGAACCCTCTCTAAAAATTGTGCGCGCGTACTAGAACCACAGCAGCCCAAAAAAATAAAATTGCGGGTTCTGAACGTGCATTTTTTGGTGCGACACTACCCTGAACGTCACACACAATCACAATTAGAGTTAGGCGTCTCATCCACACACTTCGAGTTTGGTGGCCCTGGTTACCAGAGAAATGCGCATTTGTTGATCTTGGACCGCCGTCAGTACAACTGTCCTAATTAGTCACGCCCACGGCGCTGCATTACCAAATTAAAGGACCGGAGAACCCTACATGTGTAGTTTAACCCGAGCTTAAGTGTTAGCCTATTCAGATAGCGTCGCCCGGCGATACAAGAAGACATGTATAAAAGAATGCAAGCTCTTGAGATCGCATTCCGCGGCGAAACGACGAGCACTTTGCGCAAGCGCGAAGTCGGCATCAGCTGTAGCTGGTATATATGTATATGTATATGTATATGTATATGATCACGTGTATATTTCGCATATGGTTTATTGCCATACTAAGTATATGAAGATAAATGTATATATATACCTATATTCAATCATTACACAAACGTGGGCGCTTGTGTGTGTGTTTGTGTGTGTGAGGGTGTGAGGGTGTGTGCGCGTGACGGTGTGTGTGTGTAAGTGTGTGTGTGTGTGGATGCCGGCGCGTGTTTTATGAGCACGGAACAGCAGCTTTTATTTTTTCTTCCGAGAACGTACAGGCGAACCCAAACCAGCCAGCACTCGACGGAAACAACTCCCAATCGTTAGATCGCATCGCCAGAAGAGCACCTCGAAACAGTCCTCGTGGGAATTTTCAGTCAGTCCGCCGCGTCTCCCCATCCCGGGTCGCACATCGACAAACTGAGCCGCCTTCAGAGCTCTTCACAAAGTAACCATTCCAGGGATTGAACTTGCGGAGGGCGAAACAAAGTAAAAGAATGGTGAACCGACAACACGCAGTCGTGTTCCCACCGTCTCAGCAATGTCTGACACTCGATAATACTCTCCTTTTGCCGGCCTGCGACCAATCCCGACAGAACACGAGCCTCCAAGAGAGCCCGCAAAGGCCACAACGACATACGCGGATGGTGAGCAACGCCGACTCTTCTGATAGTAAACAAAGGACTAATCTCATCTGGAGCGCCGACCTTCAGAAGTTCAGACACCAGGTTTTTATTGCAGTTGTAACAGCCATCGATCAGCCGCAACTGGCTCTTCCACTCCTGGAGACTGAACACTTGGAAAACCTTGCCTGTCAACGTCAAAGTGCGCAAAACATCCAAGTCATATTCTTTCATGGGACCAAAAGCAAAGTCAAAGGCCTCCATCGAATCTTATCCATCCATCCACAACAACACGGAGTGCAACTTCTGGCGCCTGATTGACCCTGTTGCGGTACGCAAAAACGCTAGCGCCACATTCGAGAACATTGGCAGATTAGCCTCCGTCACGCCCACACCAGGACTGACTAATCAAAGTGGTGCAACCGTTTGACTCGAAGATGTTCTTCAACATCTCCAAGTCACCCCTCAGGGCCGCCGAAGCCACCGCAGCACCGCGACCTTGATCATCTGCCTCAAACGACCAGAAGTCGGAAAAGGAAACCACGTCCCCGCGCTGAGCTGCTGCCCCTGGAACTGAGAAACAATAAGAAGGTTGCTTATCGAGTATAGGCACCGTTCCCCCCCTGGAGCACTCAGCATTGAAAGCAGATCCTCGTCCCCCTAAGCCTTCTCGGCCCACGTGAAAGCCGACTTGTGAGGCTCCCAGGGAGTGCCATAAGACGTGTCAGCTCCTCGATCCAGCCAAGCTTGCACGCAAACTTTACACAGACTTCCCGCTGCATGGAGAAAGAGGTGATGATCTCGCAACCTCGGGCTCATCTGGCTGACTTCTCTCCTATGAATCCTGCCGGGAACGTGCACGTACATGTCCAGCTCCACACCCGCGCAGAAGGCACGCGGCCG